AGAGCCGCTCCTCCCCGCCCAGCCCTGGAGCCAGCATCGCGGGTCTGGGCAGGTGCAGGGGGTGTGGTGGGGGGGGCCTGGAGGCCACTTCCTTCCCGCTCTGCTCATTCATGGCCTCGTGCCTTCTTGGGCAACAGAGGAGTTCCCAGCTCCCTGTCAGCATGTGCGCGGGGACGGGGTGAGGAAGAGGACAGTGCTGACATGCAGGCTGCGGCCGGGGTTCTGCAGGACCCACAGCCATGGGACTGGCTGGGCCAGGAAGAGGGGTCAGCCGGCTGCAGCCCGGACTCCGGCAGAAAGGAAGGCCCTGTTTTCGGAGGCAGTGGCCCCGTCCCGCTGTCACCCGGCCCAGACGAGGCCACTGAGTCACGGCGCAGCCCTCCCTCCCGCCGGCCCTGTCCAGGGGAGGGTGAACTTGCAGGGGGGGAAGGGGCCTCGGAGTAAAGATGCCAACCTCCGAGGGCTCGGGAGGAGCCAGCTGGGAGGTGCCAGTGGGCACACGGCCATCAATCACACGGTCAGTGACAGCAGCTGGGACCAGGCACAGGTCACTGCCCCAGGCCGGGTGGGCGTGGACCTCAGAGGAGGCCCAGTGCAAAGCGCTGACTCAGCCGGGCCACTGACAGCCCTGTCCTGATGCCCAGGCTGCGCGGGGCCCAGGGCGGAACCAGGAGGGCTCTGGGGGGCCCGGGAGTCATCCTCCGGAAGCCCACTTCCTCTGACCCGAGGCCGCCCCCCGCTCCGGGCATCGTACCAACGGGAAAGCCGCTGCAATCACACCGGCTCCTGGGCCTTCGCCGCCTCCTCCAGGGAGACGGCCATTTCCTGGAAGTTAGCAGGGAGCAGCACCTCCCACACCCACCCGACCCACAGCCCACGCTGCGGAGGCCCAGCCCTTCCAGCAGGGAGGGGAATTCCTCCTGCGGAAGCAGAAAAACAGAAACAGATGCTCCCATCCTTCCCCACACCCCTGTCTGCCTGGAAGAGCCCCTGGGGGAGGGGGCCTGGTAGCCCTGCCACCCCCCATCTCCTCCAAGTCCCAGAGGCTGCCTCCCACCAAGGCCGGGCCCCCTCCGGGGACTCCAGCCACATCTGGCCAGGCTGAGCCCGCGGTCCAGCCAGTCTGGAAGCCGTGCAGGACCTGCTGCCAGAGGGCACTGGGCTCGAACCCCTCCGGAGCCCACACAGCACCTGGCTGCCCAGGCCTCCGTCCAGGCCTGCGGACAGGGTGCTCCCTGGCCAGGCTAACGCGCGGGCAGGGCCAGGGCCTCGGGTCTAAACAGCGGCTCTGCACTGAGCCATGGGCCTTGCTGGCTGGGAGCAGCTGGCTGGCCCTGCCTGGGTGTCATGTGATCCCTGAGCCATGCCCCCACCCCAGGGGCCCCCTCTGCCAGCCGACTGGGGGGCAGGGCGGGATGCTGAGCACAGGCTGGGCTGGGGAGTCACTGGCCCAGCGGAGCTAACCCCGTCCTCCCTGTCCCCTCCCCAGCAGCCTCAGGGACAACCCAGACCATGACAGCACCTGAGTGCGGGCACCATGGAAGCCGTCGACCGAGAGGCAGGCGCAGGCTCTACGGGGAGTTCCCGGGTCCCGGGCGGAGTGGGCATCTGTTCCCTGCCTCACCCCCTTGCCAGGGGAGGAAAGCAGCCGGAGCCCGGGCATCCGCCCCCAGAACCCACACAGGACCCTGGGCCACCCCGTGAGCAGAGCGGGCCGCCTGGGCCAGAAGCAGCCGTGGGCAGAAGGCCCCGTGGACACTGGCAGGGGCTGGGAGCTTCGGAGAGGAGGGGATGGCCTAGCAGACAGACGTCCTGAGGGTCGGCGTCCACGGGGCAGCACTGAGCTGTTAGGAGGAAAGACTGTGTCCTCCTGGGGACAGAGCCTCCTGTCCCACCCAAGCAGGCACCCCAGGGCCCTGGGACCCCCTCAGAGCTGTGCCTTCCAGCACCTGGGTCCAGTGGAGTGAACATGGCAGGGTGCCCCCAGGCCCTGGTGAGCAGAGGCCAGCAGAATGAGCACCCAGGGTGTCCCACAGCCCCGAGCCCTGGGGGGCATCTGTTAATGTGTCACCGGATCAGCCTTTTCAGGGTGGCGGGCCGGCAGGGTGCTGCCCCCAAATTACTGCAGGCCAAGCCCGAATGCCCTCAAGGTACCATGAGGGCTTTGCCAGGGCTCCCGTGTGCACTGGGTCACCACTGTGAGCTGCTGCTAGGGTCCACCGAGTCACCGAGGCCACCCCGCGGCCCTGACCGGCCACCCACCAGCCCCCGGCAGCCCTAGTGCACGAGGCCCCTCCCCAGAGCCCAGCAGACCCCAGAGCACAGTCCCGCATGAAGGGCTCTGACTCCCAGCTCTGTTGGGCCTCCGCCCTCGGCCTCAGTGAGCTCGCCTGTGCAGTGGGGAGAAGAGTGTCTCTCTAACAGGGTCACAGTGGCGGCCACGAGGCTCGAAGCCCAGACGGGTGCCTGGCACCGAAAGTGCCCAGGAAGCGGGACCTGCTGCTGTGGGATGCCTGGCACGCACACAGCCCCCACCACCCCCACCACCAGCTGAGGCTGAAAACCCTCCCGGGAAAGCTGTGGGAGACCTGCCAGAGGCTCCGGGAACCCAGAGGGCGGCCGAGTCACCCCGGAAGCCTGAGGGTAGAAGCCAGCCGTGCAGCTTTCTGACTTTTCCTCCTTCTGCTCGAAAGCAGGAGCTCCAACGTGAGACAGACCAAGAGGGAACCCCAGGAATTCTAGGGACCAGGCCACGCTCCTCCTCAGCCGTCAGGAATCCCAGGCACCCATTACACAGAGCGGGAGACTGAGGCCGGGAGGGTGACCCAGCGGACAGTGTCCAGCTGAGGAGAGAACCAGGACTGTTCAAGTCCAAGTCCTGGCTCCTTTCTTAGACCATCAGCCCAGGGCCGGGAGGATGAAAACGCCGTTCCCGCGTGACCCTGCTGGTGCGCTGCACTGAGCCCAAGGGCACAGAGGAGACTCAAGGTCAGCCCTGCATAAGGGTGGGCCACTCTCCTGATCCAGACACCGCAACCCACAGAGGCAGCCTTGGTTGGAGACCCCTCAAGGTGTCTGGTTTCCAGGGCAACCGCGAAGCTCAGTGATTCCAGAAATTGGAGTGTGGAGGCTGTGCTGAACCCCCAAAGAGGCTGGCCCATCTCCCCAAGAACCCTCCCGCCTGCCGGAGCCCAGCTCTTAAATGTGCCTCCGTGGGGAGGAGAGATGGCTGGTGACGGCTGCGGAGGAGGGTGGCCGGGCCCCTGAGGTGTAGGGCGGGGCTGGCTGAAGGTCCAGTCCCCACAGCAATACCACGGACCAGTGTCCAGCACACGTGGGCACTTCCTGGGAGCCAGGCCCTCGGCACATGCGTCGCGGTTAGTCCTCCCCACACCTCACTCGGTGGATGAGGAAGGAGCAGGAGGGAACGCGCCCAGGCCAGGAGCCAGGAAGTGGCAGTTGGGGCAGGGACTTGAACCCTGGCCTGTGACGCTCCTGGCCTGTGGAGACACACCCAGGCCCCGCTCTACTGGTGGCTGCTCCTGGTCACAGGGATGCGGGAAAGAGACCAGGGCTGGGAAGGACTTCCCGGGGTCACACCGCCCGTCGGGGGAGGCAGGCTCACCGGACCCACTCCTCTCTCTGAGGGGACGGCCAGGGCCCCCAAGCCCGAGGTTCAGCTACAGGACACCCTGGGAAGCACCAGGCTGACCTCCCCGGAGCTGGGCAGGACACGCACCCGGGCCCCCGCCTGTCGGCTCTGCCGCTGCCCCGGGAGCTGCGGGGACTGCCTGTCGGGCCGTCTCTCGCTCGGTCCTCCCAGAACCCTCAGCGGAGGAACTGGCACAGGCCTACGCCCCAGACGTGACTGAGAGCAGGCCGTGCAGGCAGCCCACCTTCCCAGTGAGGAAAGTGCCAGAGCAGCCCCCGCACCTGGACTCCCCACACGCAGCCCTGTGCTGGGTGCCACCACCCTGCCCACCCAGCCACCGGGCTCTCGTCCGCTCACTCCCCGGCCCAGCGCCTCCTGCTCTAGGCCGCAGATGTCGACTCTCAGATCCTCAGAAGTGGATCGGGAGTCGCTTCACTGGACCTGTGTGTCCGGGAACACGGCGATTCTGGGCCTGTGAGGCTGGAGGCCCCAGCCTGGGACAGGGGGCCACCGGCCACACCAAGGGAGCCGCCGGGGCCACCAGCCAGCAGCCCCTGAAACTGCCCCCACTGCTCGTTCAGGGGCCACCGAGGGCCGGTGCTAAATCGATTCCATCGAAGACAGGGCCTGGGTCCGTCCGATTCCCAGGCGGTCTGGCATCTCCCAGGGCCGACCCCCACCCCCCACTCCCACTCCAGGCCTTCCCTGAGAGTCCGGCACCGACAGCCCAGCATGCGCACGAGTCTTCCCAGCCAGAACCAGCCAGCCGGGCACCCGCCCTTCTCCTGCAGCCCAAGGAGCAAAGCAAGAGGGAACCGCAGGGTCTGTGCGGTCCCTGCCAATGGCAGGCAGACACACAGACACGGGCACCTGAGGCCATGCCTCTGGGTCCCCGGGTCAAGGCCCTGGGGGTTAAACTGAGATCTGCACACAGTGTGGTCAGGAGGCCAGAGGACCCTGAGGAGGCGGGGAGCCTGGAAGGAGAACACCTGTGTATCTCCACCCCAAGAACAGAGGAGCCCCCCTCACTCCATCCCACCCACAGCCGCTCTCAGGCCTTGCAGGCCCGCTGCCTGGGTCAGAACCCTGCCTCTGCCACCTGCTCGCTCGGAGAGGCTGTGCAATCTAATTAACCTCTAGCGCAGCCGTGGGCAAACTACGGCCCGTGGGCCGGATCCGGCCCGTTTGAAATGAATAAAATTAAAAAAAAAAAAAAGACCGTACCCTTTTATGTAATGATGTTTACTTTGAATTGATATTAGTTCACACAAACACTCCATCCATGCTTTTGTTCCGGCCCTCCGGTCCTTTAAGAACCCATTGTGGCCCTCGAGTCAAAAAGTTTGCCCACGCCTGCTCTAGCGCCTCAGTTGTCCCTTCTGCTGAATGGGCTGCTGATAGTCCTGAACGCAGAGGACACAATGCATGGAATCGCTCAGCACTGGGCCTCCCACAGCTTCCGGCTCCTATGCGCTGTTACGTTAAACCCTGGGGGGCTTGCTGAGGGCTTGCTCCTTCCTGGGGGCCCCCCAGTGTGCTCTGGCCACAGCACTGGGCCTTCCTCTGGCCTCTAAGCATCCCTGCCCCTCACTTGGCCACAGCTTCTGGGCTGCCTGGGCCCGGTTCCATCTTCCCACAGCTCCAGCGTCCTCCTCGTGAACTTAACGTTGCCTCGATGGCGAGCCTTCTCTGGCCCCTCTGGTCTCGAGTACACAGTCGGCGCCCAAGAGGACACAGCCCAGGGTCAAGTCCTGGCTGCGTCCTTCCCGGCCATGCATACGTCTAGCTCAGGGGCTCTGGTCCCCTAGACAGTGGGGCTGGCACCTGCCTGGAGGGCTGGATGGGGAGGTGGCGCCTGCATCCAGTAGGTGCTACAGGTCAGAGAGCTGCCTGGCCGAGGAGGGGCCTGCCAGGACACGGGCATGGGCCGGTGACCCCCGGAGAGCACAGAACCACACAGGCTTAGAATCAAGATGATGAGGGAGCAGATGCCCAGATGTGCGAGGACATCTGGCAGCCCGGTGAGGGAAGCGCTGGCTGGAGGCTGGGGGGGAAATGGGGGGCCGGGGGAGGAAGGCAGAAACCGCCTGGGG